TTATCTACCCAAGTTATAAATGTGTTATGTGTATATATCTCATATATACAAGTAAAAAACTTGAGAGTATAGAGAGAATAAACAAATTTGAAAAAAACTTATGGTGGGATATTATTGAACATTTGATTTTTGAGGGAAAAAGATATATAATATAGTTTGGGGGTGAAAACTAGAGTTAAAGAGGAAAACTAGAGTTGAAGAGAATTAATTGACACCTATTTATATAAATACATGGTTTTTTCAAGTTTCAACCAAATGTTACAATTTACAAAAATCTAAGGATAGTGAAATGAACATAAAGATTTTATTGAACCCAATTGATATCAAGATCTTTAAGTTTATACAACCATTTCTCTGTATCTTGAGAGACATAAGGTTTGTTTTTCTTGTTATTAATCGTCGAATTTAGATCGGTATCAATGGACTCTGTCCTCTGTATTGGGTTACCATTGTCTTTACGCGAATTTAGCTGCCTGTTTGGATGTCTCACGTTCAATGCTAAAAGACGAGACACTTCGTGTAACCCTCCCCATTTCTCCAGCGCACGCGCAATGTCATAACGACCTGAAACAACAGACCAAATGTTTGTCGGACCAATATATTTTCAAGAAACATATAGAGCTTAAAATGTTTGTACCTGCGCGCTCAAACGATTTTCTGCTTGGCATAAATGATGGATCCATTCCCCAACTTTTTTGAAATCTTCCTATCTACAACACACAAACAGAGAGAAACTCTTGTCAATCCATTGCACATGCCTTAACCGATCCTATCCAAACAGAAATAGCACAGAAACTTTACCTCGTCTTGCAAGTTCTCGAGATTGTCCCAATATCCTTTCGGTTTTCGGTGTTTATAAGCAAGTGAAAGGTTCATCATCAAAGCTATTCTCCTAAATCCACCCATTTTTGTAATGGCTTTCTCAATGTCAACTCTTCCATGTAACCGGAGCTGCTTTCTCATAGGCATGAATCCTTCTTGTCCATGTTCAGATATGAACTTAAGAATCTCTGATTTCAACACTTCGATGTCTCGTTGCAGATTAGGAATCCTCGGTCTCTGCTTAGTTTGGTCTGTACCATCATCATTGTTGCAAACTGTCTCCACTGATGCAGCACGAGATGAACACGTTTCCTCTGAAACATGACATGTTTCCACTTTACATGACTCTGAAGACTGCTCTACTCTTTTCTCGACGTAATCCCGGATAGCGCATAAATTTGATGGAAGATCTTCGTAAATAACCTGAAAGACTCAGAAAGAAACATTGCAGTTACAATAGGAAAAGTGATAAGAGTTAAAAAACTATATATCCAATTGTTAACCAAACCTCTTCCATGATTGCTTCAGAAAGAAATGTATCTTTTCGCATTTTGGACTCCACAGTATACTTGAGAAGTGTGTGATGGCTTCCTAATTGTTCAAAAATCCATTTCCCCTCAAGCGAGTCAAAGTCTCCTTCGACCTGCTCGAATCTGATTTCCTGCTCACGACTCTCAGACAAATCGAGAACAGCTCTCGCATGAAGCACCATGTAAAGCAGGCCTTTGCATCCTTCCTGCAAACAGCATTTGGTGTAGTTACACACTTTTTTCAATCAAGACAGAGGCCAGTGTCAGAAGTTTGATCTTCAACACCGGACAAAATGCAGAGCCTTTCTGAATCATCGAAGAGCAAGCTATGAGTTCATATTTAATATAGCCAAACATTCACAACTATTTATAAAAAATAACTCAATTCTGTCTCTTCAGGTCTCGTACTTTTCCAATGTATAAGTACTGGTAATGTGTTTTACTATCCCTTCCCATTAAAATTTTACCATGGATGAGAATGCTCATACCTGAAGTATTCGGACTTTGTTGTTTTCGCGTGACAAAATCTTGCTGATTGCCAAATTTGGAACTATCCTGATATATTCATGAACAATAAACGTAGATGAACAAGAGATACATAAGCCGAGACAACCAATATTTGATAAATACCGACACAGAAGTAAAGCTAACAATACAATCCTCCTCAAGGTCAGAAAGGTGAATCATGGATTATCTGTTGATAAATAAAAGCATTCCGTACTTACTCTGGAAGACTCTCATAAGCGGTTAGAACTTTCCAAACTTCAGAAACAGGAGCTTTAACTGTTATACTAGCAATGGCGCAACGGTGGACACCTCCATTTTCCTTCATAAAAAAATAGCACTCATCTTTAACACACTAAAATGGGAAACCTGTGGTTTTCTTTATATTATGAAGTTTTAGAACCAACTAACGTACCAATAGTCCATCAAATCTACGAAGATGAACTTCGTCCACGGTGCAAGGTTTATCTAGCTTGCAGACTTTTCCATATGCACCCCAACTATTGTTCAATTCATTTGAATGAGATAATGATCCAACACTGGAGGCAACAGATCTCTCAGAAAGCGAACTTTCAAACTCAACACCATGAGAAGGGGTCGGTGGTATAGATGTTCTACCGAACAAATCTACAATTATTGACGGTTTCCCGTAACTTTTGTAATTTCTTTCAGCTTGGTGTGCTAAGGCTCTGAGGTTTACAGGAAGATCTGATCTGATTATTCTCTCTAAGAAAATGGCAGGGTAGTTAAATCTTGGTATCACGTTTACTTCATATGACAAGACAGTTCCTATGGACCTGTAAAAAGAGAAATAGATGTTTGGAAATTCGATAGTTCCGAAGTTGTTTGTGGTTAGAAAATGCATAACAGTCTGTTTACAGAAACGACTTCTCTGACACGCATTTACGGAGGATCTACATATGTACACACAAAACAGGGATCAAAAACTGTACCTGGCTCCAGATTTCACAGACCACTTTCCTTCGAACTTTTTGAAATCACCATCGACCATAGAGAAGTGAAGCTCACGGCCATTTGGCTAAAACGAACGAACGTAAAAGGGAAAACGCATGAAAGTAGATTTATAAACACATAGTATGGATCTAGAAAACAATGCAAATTATGGACTCATTGTAAAGATCGATAAATACCAAACAATACACCCAATGGAAGGAATGCAAAGCAGGATGAACGTTAGAATCATCAACTTCTGAATATGGAGGAAGTAATAAACCTCCATACGATTCTGGTTTAGTTGGAACTCATAAAAATTTTAGATTAAGAATCTACAGAAAGGAAAGAACACTGCAATTCCTATTTAATCACAATCTCATAGCCATTGTCCTCTTCTTGAATTAGTCCCAATCAATAGGCAGGGGAAAAGTAAAAAGAGCTAGGATGCTACATTCAGTTAAGGTGCTCACAGAATCTGTACACTCATGGAGATCAAGGACAACACGAGCCTCAATTTGCCAATACAACGCTCTTTGAAGGCCTCGTTGCTCCAGCCATATACGTCCTGGATGCGGACAAGGAATTCTTCCACTAGAAATTGAAAAAAAAAAAATCAACATCAAAGATCATGTTAGCGTCAACAATTTAAGATTCATACACATAAAACATACAACATCTCTCCCTAAAGCATTGTTCCAACTGCAGAATTGGATGCAGAATCTTGAATTAACCAGTTGGAAGCAGCGATTATTCAGAAGAATTTTGAAGATAAGAATCAGTGAAGTTACCTACAAACGAGATTGGGGATAAAATCAGCAAGACGCTCGTAATCAGTAAGAACATTCCAGACGGATTGAGAATCTGAATCGACCCAGATTTCGCCTCTTATCCTCCTTTCCCTCCACGAGATCACATCAACCTCACAACGCACTTTTCTCTCTCCTCCTCTCTCGTCGTCTTCGACGAAACCTAATCCACTCTCTCTCCTCAAACCGTTATCACCTCTCCCGCCGCTATTTCTCGTTCCGTGACACTTGACGACCCCGGAGCCGCCGATCGCGGTGGTGGAAAGAGCCGAGAACAGGCGAATCTGCGAAGGACTGGGAAGCAAAACGCTTAGAATCACTGGTTCGTTTGAGAAATCGGAGTAATCAGTGGTGTGAACGCCATGGGAGAGATGTGGAAGCTTGCTCACTGACATGGATTGTTAGAGCTAAAGGTGTTCGACGAAATGGGTGAGTGAGCAAATTGAAGTATGGAGGAAGAAGCAAAAGCAACTGTTGCAGTGTGTGTGTGTATATAAAACATGACCGTTAAATTTTCTCATCCACCGGATTATTTTATTTTATTTTATTCTCCTAATAATTTTATGTTTTTAAAATGTTACAAATGTATGGTTGGAAATTCACTCTCTATAGACTGTAGTATTCTTCAACATATTTCTAATTTTCTAATAAAAAGCTTACAATTTTTTATTTTTTTCCAATTAGATACAAAACATGATAAATGATAAATGATTTTTGTAAGTAATTCAACA